GGTGTTGTAATTATTAAAACATAGGCAAGATATGTATGTATGTTTGGAAATTTCGAAGTGGCGGCATTTAAAAAGAAGCTATAGAAATTGATTAGAATTTAAATCGAGGTTACATATTCATATGTGCTTCAGCCCATGGTTTAATGACAAATGTTCAAAAACTTGAGAGGTATTGAGGGGCACCCCTCGAATCGAAATAATCAATAAACGAATTTTCATATTAAATTTCAGACTGCACTTTTTCGGCTGCATTTCGGCTGTGCCAGCTGTGCAGACACAAAACTGCCAAACAAGCCGACGAGCAACGAGCTCTGTACATCTGTGTGTATATGTATGTATGTATGCAAGTTTATATTGGCTCGGCTGTCTGTCTGTCAACCACTATCCCCGCGACCTACTTGCACTTAAATGCTTGATCAGACATACACACACACATCTGAATGCACATTTACAGCTAACCACCTAATTGCATGCATATCTACATACACATGTACAGAGTATACGTATGCGTTGTTTTTGTTTTGAGTCTTCAGCAGTTGTTAACATTTTCTGATAGGAATATTGAAATTTAATTTCACAAACGCACATATATACATATGTACATTTGTAAAGTGAAATAATTCGAAACTTCGAAGCTGTCAAAGTTCAATTCGAGTCCGTTGTACTTTTGTTATTGTGCTTTCGAGGAACATGCCGAGGCAAGTGTAAGGCCTCTAAACATTGGTAACAACCAGTGTCACATTACACGCATATTTTTCTTCACTTATGTATATGGATGTACAAATGTACATATGTATGTATTCGTATATTGGTCAGCAGCACTACCAACCACCGAGTACTTCAACATAATTTCGATGCCTTCTGATGTGAGAAATGAGGGTATAAAACCACACACGTACATGCATGCATACAAGTGCACTTTGTGCAAACAAACAAGCAAACAATAACAACAACCGCAACCACACAATTCATTTGACTGACAAATGAGGCAAACATACCCACACATACACATACGCACATGACGGAATCATGTCATGCTTATTTGTACGTCCAACATACCGTCCGTCCGCGATTGCTTTTTAACTGCGTTGGCGTTCAATGAGCGCTGAGAAGTAACAGGAAGAACCAAACGTACGAGCACAGCAACAAAAGAAACAAAAAGAGCAAATTTGTATTCTTTCAATCCGCGCCTGACTGACTGCCAGTTCATGGTTGGCATCCGCTAACCCGTATGAACTTATCCAAGTTCATTTGTGCGTGCGTGTGTGTGTGTGCAGCGCCTTCGCCAACGAACCAACGTAATAATCGTTCTCATTTATGCCCGCTCACGCATTTCTCAAAGGAGCAGCCGCAACGTCAAGCGGAAATTAAAGAGGAACCAGTTGGTTTGCGCTAAAATATGACAGAATTGTGCACAAAACACACACACACATGCAGACAAGCATATGCATGTATCTACGCCGGAATCCTAAGATATCGAGAGCTCAGCAGCCAAAAAAAATTTTGAATGAATTTAAAAGCACACAACAGAATTAACAAGCAAACACACAAGAGTGAACTCGGAAAAGGAGTTGACAACAGAACCCACACAAAACATGTGTTTCATGTGGAATATTCTTTTGCTATTCTATTTGCCTTTGCTGCGGTTTAGCATTTTTTATTCCGGCTAAGGTTGATGCAGGCCGCCGAGAGAGCGTGCCTTTAAACATCTGCCTGGCGAAAATAAAATAATGCCAACTTTAACATTAGAAAGCCTACTAGCAAAATCAATGTAGAAATAATGAAGGATTTAATCGCTTAAATAACGACACGTTTTATTTTAAGCCACTCTTTAAAAATAAATATGGATGACTGCAGAGTTGGGGATAATGTTGTCGCATTCGGGGCTTTTTTCAAGATAGTGCTCAAAGGTGCCTCAACACTAAAGAGTTTCTCAAAAATTTCAAAATATAGCGAATTTCCTCATTATTTTCCGTCATTTTTGAACAGTTGCAATTTTATTTTCAACTTCCCCGAATTTAATTTTTTTCTTTTGGTTAAATGAAACCTAAAATCTCACCTTTCCAACATTATATGGTACGACGCAATGTGATTGGTAGCACTGGAGATATACGACTGCAATGACATCTATTGACGAAAGGACTTTTTCGACTACACATTATGTCAATTAGTAGGAGGTGAAACATGGTCGAGTCGAAGGTTTTGGTTCCGTCCGAGACGAACTCACAATTCTAATAGAAGCCCCTATCCGCCATTCGAAACGCCATTTTATCCCTTTAATTCTACACCCTGTGACAAAACTAAAATCTTCACGGATTTTCGTAGAGACATACTATACATATGTACTTAATGCGCTTAAAAACTTTAAATATGCCGCGATTAAATAATCAGACTGTGTGCCTATTCCAAGTGTCATGAGCCTCATAGCGCAAAAAGTGGAAATAATGCAAGGTTTGTTTGCGGGTGCGTTTCATAAAGCGATTTCCGAGGGTAGATAATCAAATTCGCGACGACAGAGAGTCCTGCTGTCGAAAAATATGCAACTTGAGAGAAAGCAACGAACGCGCTTGCCGAAGATAAGCCTATGCTTATAGTCATTAATAAGCGTTGGTGTACATTTCTTCAAACACACCCGGTAAGAAATATGAATGAAAGCTGCTATAAAAAATTATTATTTAAATTTTTGTTTATTTTCATAATTGCTACTTGGAGTCATAGTACTTATGGATGGATGTGTTCATGTACAAAAAGTTAGTGCGATTTATTGGGGAAGTAATAGTGGTTCATACCATTATATGTGGGATATTAAATGTTATACAGGATGAATGCAAGCTGATCAATATGATTTTTCGTTAAGACTTTCCTACAGGGTGTGTGAGAACAGTGCTTTTCTTCAGTGTTATTGTTGGTGGTGTGTTAAAAATTTTGTTCTTTTACATGCTCGGAGAGATAACGATAAAGTTTTGTTTGTAATGACATACATATGCTGCGTATGTACCTATATAAAAGTACGTATTTGTCCTTACCATTGCTTTTGATATTTGGATAAACCAACTAGTTTTTTTGCGAATAAATCCTTAAACATATTACATACATACATGTGTACGTACAAACCTAGAGCAACGTACAATTGCAACACGCTAAAGGCAAAGGCTTCAGCCCAGCATTCATTTATCATTAGCATTAGAAAAACTGTGGCTGAGGGTGGCGCGTTGAAGCACGAATATGGAAAATCAAATAAATGTGAGCTAACGACACCTCGAAATGCCCGGAATAATTCTAAACTTGTGTTCTAGTGTCACAAAGCAGGAAATATGTATGTACATATGTGTGCACGGCGGAACCTTTAGCTACTAGGCTACGGGGAGAATGTACATTTGTGTATAACTTGCCACTTCACGGAAATTAGAGCATTTCCTTAACAACGTCATCCTTGCTTGCAGTTCTCACTCAGTCAACGTGACAGCTGTTGCCAACACCAATTTGGCAACCGGAAAGTTCAGCGCTCAGAGTTCATACAATGCTCGTTGCAACCTGTAGTGAAAGGTGGATAGCATGAACAACAACCGTCGCAATTACTTAAAGACATTCTACTTTTTATTGGAAAATCCTTGCTGACAAATTTTCAACTCCCCCATCGTTGGGGCGAGCGGGGACCATTTTGGGAATAACGGGCATGCAGACTTACATACATACATACTAACATATTCGACATTAAGATGCCTCATTTTTGTCTCTTCGCTTTTTTGTTGTAAATTTTTCTTCTCCCATTGCCGATTCGTTTCCTTTTCCTATGCCATTTTGTTGTTGTTTTTATAGAGCCAAAATAAGAATGTATATACATACATATGTGGATATACATACATATACATATATATTTTCAAGAAAAATAAATATAAATATTTATTTTATAATTTAGTAATCGAATTTTTCTTTTACATTTTGGTTCGAAAAAGAAACTTAATTCCAAAGATTGGCAATCGGCTGAACAAAGCGAGCTGAAATATTATTTAAAATTATAAAAACCAATAATAATTATTTTTTTATCAAGATTCAAATACAAAATTTAAATCTTAACCCTGTATCCTCACTTTTGCCGCAGAGTATAAATCTGTATTTTCAACACTCACCTTTTCGCTACTGTACAACAAGAAACTAGCAAAATAAAAATCTGTAATTACATACATATATACACATATGTATGTACATACATACATATATCCATACATACATTCAAATATAGCTATCTTTACGTTTTTTGCTTTCTGTTGTGTGCTGGGCATCCTAGTGTATTTTGTTTGCCTACAGATGCGAATATTCATCATCAGGGTAACGGTAATATGCAGGCGCAAAGCAGAAACCCCACGTACATACGTACATACGTATGTATGTATGTATATCACTGCATAATTGCATAGCAAATGTGTACAGTATGTATGTATATATGTATGTGTGTCTTTAACTTTACAGATGCGCTTGTGGCGGCCAGTGTTGGTCCTCTTGCTGCCACAAACGCGTGTTTTCCACTGGAAATAATGCGAGGCCACTCTCAACTGAGCCACATTCTCTCTATGTTGCTTTCCTAGCGCATACATGTGTACACTCTTTCTTTTCACCTATCGCATGAAATTTGTAGCAACCACTCTTTGGTCGTATGCTCTTTCTCTGTGATTTGCCTTGTCCATCCCTTAAAATAGTGGCTCAGTGGCGCAGTTCGGTTTGCAGCATTTGAGCACGAGCTGTGATCACGGCTTTCCACGTCTGCTGCTGGCATAAAAACATATTCTTCAGTTGCACACACACACACAAGCGCACTTTTATATTGGAATTGTATGCCATCGCAATTGGAAAGTGTTTTTCTGGCGGAAACCAAGTTTATGTTGCACACACTCGCTCTCTCTCTTCCTCTCTTATGCTTACTCGCTTCCAGTTGCATTCATTCGCCGCGGTTGGGTGACGCGCTGCTTTTTCCCTATTTTTCATGTTTTTCGCGTCCCGGCGTGTAGTTTGAAAACCGCTTTGGACCGTCGCGCAACATTTTACGGATAAGTGCGCAACTCGTTTGGGGAATCGCGCTTTAGTACAGCTGGATTTCATTGATTGCATGAATTTTAAGTGAAATATTTGGATTATTTCAAAGTTACTTGTGTAGTGCTTATAAAAACAACAAATAAATATTATTTACAATTGTGAACTAATATTTATTGGAAAGTTATACCGAACAAAAGATTCGAGCAAACGTTTGAAAATCGAAAAAAAAAAACAACAAAAACGAAAACAAAATACATATTCAATACAAAAGGATAACAAACCGCATAAGTGATTTTTATTGGTGATTTCATCATTACAGTGAAAATTAGTTCTTTTTTGAAAAATAAAAAAATTCGAAAGGAGCGGATGCTGTGTGTCGTGGAAGTCTGCATCATATGCAATTGAATTTGGATAAACTTTGACTGAATGTACGTATCACTTTAACTTTGAACCTAATATGTGTATGCATGTGAAATTTAGTTTCACATAATACATACATACATATGTATAATAAATGTAATATGTGTCATATAATTATGTGACGAGGAATTTCACAATATTTTTTTTTTTTTTGTCGCCTAAAATGTAAAATAACGTAACATCACTTTTCAAAAGCTTACAGGCGAGGGATTTGAACCACTTATTGAAACAAAATTTGAATTTTGGTTATAAAATGGTTATATATTGGTAAAATGTGAAAGCGGAAGCTAAACATTTTATGTCACATACATACTATATATTTAATATGTTGTAGTAAATATTTTTACTCATATATAATATTGTAAAGAGAGAGAAAAACAATATACATACATCCTTTAAATGTTTATATAAACAAAAAAGTTCTTACAATTTAATAAACCAAATGGAAACGAAACAAATTCAAATAATTAAAAATAGTTTCATATTTACATATATTTATTACAAGTGGTTCTGGCCAGGCGTTGCTGTGATATACATTTTATACTCTTATTCATATAATAAACTATTAAATACAGTGAAAATTTTATTTACGAATAAAGGCGTAAACGATTTTGTCGGTATAAGAATCCATAGGTTGTACTTGATTTTTAATTTTGAATATGTTCAAATAAATTTCATTGGAAAAAACAAGTAATTTAAGGCTAATGATTCAATGTCTGGTTACAAGCGTTTCTGTCCGGTTAATAGAGTTATCCGCTTAATAGATTGTAATATTAATAAAAATCAACAAATGCTGAGACCGGCCAATGTGCATGATTAATGGATATGTGCGCTTAATAAAGCGTCCATTTATAGAGCTTTCACTGTATTTTTTTTATTTATGGATTGTTCTTCCTATTCTATCTTCTATGTTGCTGAAATCCGTTAAGTAGCGTAGGAATCCATCGCAGACAAACAACGTGATAAGTAATTTTTATATATAAAGATATAAGTGTGTGTTTATAAATGTGTTTCTAGAAGAAAGTTAGTGCACAAAGTTTAGTGTAAAATGGCTTTCCGATGCTTCCTCAATTAATATTTCAAACAATCTATTTTCCAAACTCATTGTTTTTGTTGTGAAATAGAACTCGTCTTAGCTACAGTATAGAGCTTTGCAGTTCACGGGATTAGATGAAGTGTCAAAATTAGAAATCTGTCTTTTAAAATCTCAAAAAGCAATGCCGTACTGTATCAGGAACATATCAGCTCAAATCAAAGTGGCCCTGAAATATTTTTTATTTTATTAAGTTTGCCATGGAGTTTGTAACACCCAGATGGAAGGGTCGGAGACCCTGTAAAGTATATATATAAATGATCAGTATGTCGAGCTGAGTCGATTTAGCCATATCCGTCAGTCTGTATATATTCGAACTAGTCCCTCAGTTTTTAAGATATCCTTTTGAAATTTTGAAAACGTAATTTTCTCTTTAAGAAGCTGCTCGTTTGTCAGAACTACCGATATTGGACCACTATAACATATAGCTGCCATACAAACTGAACGATCGAAGTCAAGTTCTTGTATGGAAAAGCTTCACATTTGACAATGTATCTTCACAAAAGTTGGCACAGGTTATTTTCTAAGGTAATAACGTAATATACGAAGATGTTGTTCAGATCGGATTACTATAGCATATATCTGATATACAGACTGAACGATCGCAATCTGGTGCTGGCATGGAAAACTTTTGCATTTGACAAGGTACGAGTATATTCATGAATTTTGGTATAGATTACTTTCTAAGAGAATATTGTAATCTCCAAATAAATTGTTCACATTGGATTACTATAGCACATAGCTCCCATACAAACTGAACACATATGTAGTTACTAAAAGAAATGCACCTGTGAGAGGTATATTAGCTACGATGCAGCCAAAGTTAACATTTTTTCTTGTTTTTTCTAAAAAAAAAAATAAGACTACATTGTCCAACAAATAGAGTCTACCACATTTGTAACTTCGGACACATGCGTGTGGATGTGTTAAATTTGACTGATTTGGATGCCAACCAAAACCACAGTTAACAACTTTCCTTCAGATATTTGGTTAAAAAGAAAGTGATTAAAACACTAACCACTGTCTTTAAGGCAGCAGGCAGTAGCATTGTTTACCAAGCTCTTCGCAGGCGCCAGCTTCGAAATCTTAATCGTCTGCATTTATTAAAGGTATACAACAAGCAGTTTACTTGTATGTGTAAGTATTTCAAGACTTTTCCTACTCTTCGTTTCTATTTCCACATTTTTTACTTTTTTTTTAGCGTTACATAAATCAGTAAGGCCTCCCCTCAGCGCAAACCATTAATCTTAATCTAACAAAGGCAACAAATTTAACAAAAAAAAAAAAAAAGCTCAAAACAACTTTAAAAAATTTTAAAATCATTAGCCACTCCAACTTGGCTTGATATGGGTAGGTGAAATTGTACAACATTAATGACATGGTTTTGTACTTTTGGTGGCAACTGTTGCACGCGCAGCTGCATGCTCGCGGCAAAGAGGCAGCGAAGCCTAACTTCCGCTAAGTCCACTACTACCTACTATAACCGCTAGTACAGCACAACAAAAACGCCCATTTTTAGTTTGAATTTCTATGATTTATTGTTGTACTTATAAAGATGCGTATGTGTGCATAAGTAGGAGCACATAAATATTTGCTGCATGGCGACCCTAATTTCAGAAACAACAATAAATTTGGAAACTTTTCGGCTCAAGTGCGCGCTTTCTGGCTTTGTTTACATGCAAATGAAGTGGCTCGAGGAAAGCGCTGCACCAATAATGCCATCAACGGCAAGGCGCTCGACAATTCGGGTGTGAATACTCTATTGGCTTGACGGTTTGACGGCCCTTTCCGTTCTTTCACTTTTCAATCTGTATGCTTACAAATGCATGCATGTGTGTGTGTGTGTGTTAAGGCAGCCAATACAAAATAACAGAATTCTGTTAAGCAAAAACGCACTTCTCCTTTGACAGAGTGAGCTGCAATTGGACATCCCCTACTTGAGAACGATTTTTTCCCGCCTTCACTTCAAAACATAGTGTCCGTTTTAGGCAACAACAATGTAAACAAAATTCCTATGAAAAATGTGATCTTCGCTTTTCGATTTGATAAACAAAACACAACAATTTCAACACTTTTCCGAAAAGCCACGCAACACAAAACTCGCGACAACAACAACACTGCTGTTCAATGTAAACATTTTTTTTTTTGTTTACAAACACTTTTTTGTGAAAGACATTATGAGCGCGTTGCAGCTGCACGCCGCTAGAAGACAGCGATCGAATGTAGAGCTGCGTCTATATTCTCAAAAGATAGCCATCGCACGTAACCAAGCCGAAGACACACATATGGCACATATACATGTGCACACGTCAATGCATATTATGTGTTTCTCAAAAGTTGCTGTTGTTGCAATAAGGTCTTGGCCACACTTGGCTGCTTTTTCGCCTGAGCTATTTTTTATTTCTTCGTTTTTTCTTCGAAAATTTTGTTGGCCTGGGTCAAATGTTTAACTTCATTTCGTTTGTTTGTATTTCCGCTATAAATCTGTTGATTTATGTGTGTGTGTGTGTGTGTGTGCGTGCAACGCTTCGCTGGCAGCAATTAAATGTCGCAACAATCGCACAGTGCAGGGTCCACAGAATCGGTTGGGACTGTGGGTTTTTATCTGGCGGCATGCATGCGGGCACTTACCTCTAAACAAACACGCTCACACTTATGCATATATGCGTGTGTGTATGTGTGTGACTCGCACCTTTGCTTACTCTCTCCATAGTTGGAGGATCCATAGACAGCTGCGCCTATCCCTCTGTGGCATCACGCATAATTTACAATGTTTGTTGTAGCGCCATGTTGCACGCGTGAACTCACGTGTATCTGTGTTGTTATGTTGCAAGCACTGTACAACTTCATAGTTTATTTTTTGAAAGCCTTGAAACCCGCTTGATGGCACTTAGCACTGTTGACACTGACACTGATAAATGTGTGCTTTGTTGTTGTTGCTGCTTGTGTCTAACCACATTTAAGAGAGAGTATTAGACGTTTGCATCTTAGCATTTACTTGCTCTCTTTATAAATTGATGATAAACATATTTATAATATGTTTTTAAGAGAAGTAACTTTATTTTCCAAAAAATCAAGTATTCTACTAAGGGGTTACATGTGTTTTTGGGTTTCTAAAAGTCGAATTTCTTATTGCCTTGTTCAATTCTACAACAACACCTCTAGAATATTGTCCTAAATTTTCAAGTTGATCCGAGAAATAGTTTCGGAGATACAGCCTGGGGAACTTGTGCGTTCGAGGGCAGCTAGGCTAAGTGCGCTTGACGGTAACTGTATTTCTCGGTTGGCAAGACTTCTCGGGAACTACTCAACCGATCATCATGACAATTTACCCTGGTCTTTGAAATACAAATTTTAAAGACTTGGACGTAGGATTTTTTTCGATTACAACTATTTGGAAAAAAATGTCTCGAAATTTTAATTTTGTTTTGTGAAAATGTCTGCCAAAAATCTAATTTTCAGTCCTTTTTTCCCTCGTTCTAAGTTAAGGTTTCAACTAAAACCTGTATTTTTTCACTTTAGATCCTATAAGGAGTTATCCTGCCAAGGCGGATAACTTTTTTTCGAGGGGTCACCGGTTTCGCAATGACCGAGTTTAAAATATTTTTTTCCGAAAATTCCCAAAATAGTGTATGTGTGTAACAATAAAATATTTAATTTTTTATATCAGAAAAAATTTTTTGAAAAAAGTCGGTTTTTTATTGGAGGAAACTAATGTAACCCCTTAACATTGTTGCCTCTCTAGCAACAAATTTTGTAGCTATCGTATTGTATATGCAATTATGTTGCCTACATTTCGGCGCGAACATTAAAAGTACATACTTCAATTAATTAATTAATTACTTAAAAATAAAATCTTCAATAGATTTTAAAACAAGGGCGATGTATAAAATATTTTCAATAAACAACAAAGTT